GAAGCCAACCGTTCAGATGGAACCGAACTTCCAGGCGTGATAAGAAAACTTAAAGCAACCTTCGCTAGCATCGGCATCGTTGAAATTTGTGAGTTCCAGAATTCCAACGGATTTGTCTCCCAACTACAAAATGGCATACTCAAGTAAACCTGCATTTCCTTTCTTTCGCAACAAATATCGGAGAACACCAACTCAAAAATATTATTATCGACTATTTTTGCCCAAAAAATATCACGATAATAATATTTTTTTAAGAGAAAATATATCGATATATCGATATTTTGATATACTTCCGACATCCCTAGACGGAATGTACTTATATATATTGCTATGCGCTCTCAAAAGGGGGCGCGAGGGGTATGCATATGCTGTACGTTCGTTACAGTTATGCCGACGCTAGCACTTCCTGTGTGCGGGCTAAGCCATAGCGACTTTGAAATATGTAAACGCTGCAACAAAGTGTTACAGTGCGTACCCTTTGAGTACTTTCGGTTCAGTGGGTATTCAATATATGTGCTGATAACTGATTGATCGGAAATGGTATAACTTTGATGTTTTTAGAGTTAGAGAGTTCAAATTTGACACTATTTTTGGCAAACCATTACGACATGCCAAATTTCATAAGGATCGGCCGACTATATCTTATAGCTGCCATATAACTGAACGATCGGAAATGACCCAACTTTCGTGTTTTTGAAGATAGGAAGCTGAAACTTAGTACAGATTATATTTTTGGCCAGATGATCCAACCTACCAAATTTCATTAGGATCGGCCGACTATATCCTATAGCTGCCATATAACTGAACGATCGGAAATGACACAACTTTTGTGTTTTTGAAGATAGAAGTTTGGGACATTTTTAGGTTTGGTTTTTGTATTATAATAAATTGGGTAATATTATCATATTCTCATAAGGATCGGCCAACTATATCCGATGTTTGCGATATATATCCGGTTTTAACTGCAAGGGTATATAAACTTCGGCTCCGCCCGAAGTTAGCTTTCCTTTCTTGTTTATTGTAATAAATTGGATTATATTTTCCTTTTCCCATAAAGATCGGCCAACTATATCCGATGTTTGCGATATATATCCGGTTTTAACTGCAAGGGTATATAAACTTCGGCTACGCCCGAAGTTAGCTTTCCTTTCTTGTTTAATAAAACTTTGTCACCTACTGATATATCTATATCCCTTACTTTTTGATCGTATAGTAGTTTATTTCTATTCTTATTTGCTTCTAACATAACTATAGCTCTTTTATAGGCTACTTATAATCTATACTTAGCATAATCATCTATATTACCATAAGTGCCATAACTATAGCCACAACTTTAACAAGTTAGAGAGTTGAGATTTTGTATGGATTCTTTGTTTGGTAAAATAATGTGACATACAAAATTTTATAAGGATCAGCGGTATCCTATAACTGCCATATAACTGAACGCTGGGAAATTACTCTACTATGATATTTTGAAAGATTGAAGATAGGAACTTATTTAAAAATTTTAGTTTTATAAATTGGTTTCATTTTAAAATTCTCAAAGGGATACCCCAACTATATACGATATTTGCGTTAAATATCTGATTAATATCCGCGGACGGTTTGCGCCGGTGCGGAGGAGGGTGCTAAGGCATCCTCTTTTAAAGCGGGGCTAACTATGGGGCTACCGAACGGCGTGAAGAGGAAGACCCCAAGGCCAACATCTTAACCAACTAAGGCCCCTTAGGTAAACCCTGGTCCGGCGGCGTCTTACCCGACGCAGCGAAAAGGCTCCCACAAACTCTTCATTCTCATGAAGGCGAACCTATGGGCAAAAGCCAATCCGGACCAAGCCGAAATCAATAGATGGGCAAGGGAGATCCTGCCCGACTTCCGGATGTGAGGCTGGAGTAGACCCTGCCAAGGAGATCGCACAGAATACGAAAAGGCAGAGGTCAACAGACGGAGGAGCCCCAAGCGAGGAATAAGAAGGTCCAGCCACAGCCGTCCAACCGCTCGTTCGATGAGGTCGCGAAGGGAAAACCCCTTATTAGAATCCTGGACAAGGAATCGATGGATGGGCTTATGCCAAGACGTGGTAAAGAGTGGTAAAAGGCGAAAGGTGGTAAAAGAGTCCCATGGGCGCACCATGGACGAGATGCTAAAGAGCGGAGAACCCTCACCAGAATGCAAAGACGCAGGCTGGTATCAGGGTAGCGTTAGGGTAATAGTATGCCAAGACGCGATCATTGTATTTGTCGAAAAGGTACTTAGTGATAAGGAATACGCACATATTGCTTTTGTAGAAATAGAAGGTAAGTTTAACAACATCCTGCCATGCTCAATAATCAATGCGCTGATGAGACTAGGGATATACGATTATTCCGTGCGCCTAACAAAGCAGATCCTGGTAAACAGGATTGTTGAGGCGACACTAGGATGAGAGTCTATTTATTGATTTGTCAGTAGAGGCACTCCGGAAGAAAGTCTCTCTTCTCTGGAACGTGACGGTTAACCACCAACTGCGATCCCTAGATGGTGGTGGGTGAAAAGTTATGGCTTATGCAGATTGTCGCAATTGCCTTCTCTGGAAAATTTCCCCAGACTCTGTGCGACCGCTTGACGGACAAACTGAGGGTTTTCTCAGCATGGGCAAATAAGAACGGTCTAAGAGTGAACACATCCAAGACCGAACTTGTCCTCTTCACTAGGAAGTACAAAATACCGAATTTAAGGCTTCCAAAACTATCAGGGGAAACACTTACCCTCAGTGGTAACGCCAAGTACCTAGGAATTACGCTCGACAGAAAACTTGACTGGAAGCTGAATACTATGGATAGAGCAAACCAGACAACTACCGCGTTTTTTTACCTGCCGCAAAGCCATTGGACTCAAATGGGGTATGTCTCCAAAAAGAGTAAGATGGCTGCCTACTCTTTTACGGGGTAGTGGTCTGGTGGCTTGCTCTAACAGACATCAGACTACTACTGATCAACGGGTACAGAGGGCTAAAGACTATACCCGTCAATCACCACACCTTAAAACATAAGGTCTCCATCAAGAGAGGAATGGGCCATACAAATCCCGGGACGAGCGGATCTCTTCATATATACACAGACGGTTCAAAGTTGAATGGCCAGGTGGAAGTCGGTTTCCTCTGTGAACGGCTGTGTCTAAATGAGTCCTTTAGACTCCCCGACCACTGTAGTGTGTTTCAAGCAAAAGTAATAGCTATCGGGAAAGCACTTAGATCTCCAGCACTTACTGGTAATCAAGAAACCATTTGCATGTTATCAAGTAGTCAAGCTGCTCTCAAAGACCTTGACGGATTTTCATCCAACTCTAGGACAGTGAATGACCGTCGCACATCTCTTAACGAGATGGCGGAGCAGCATGACATCCACCCTATATGGGTGCCCGGAGGATCCACGGGGGAAATTGCGCCGCTGATGAATTAGCAAGGGCGGTTACTACCAACCTGAAAAAAATAGTAGGCATTCCCTTAGCAACGTGTAGCCTGAAATGCAGGGATTACTTTGACCTGGTAGCACTGAGGAAATAGAGGAGTCCCCAGAACTGCCGGAACTCACGCATGATATGGTTCCTGCTCTAGGAAAAGTTCAAGGATAATTATCGTCATCAACAGGTAGGACTCCAGTCTAGCGGTCAAGTCCACGGGACAATGGTTAATAGAAACGCACGCGGGTAGCGGTACAACGCAACGATTACAGTAGATGCTGCGGGGATGTAGAGAAGGAGGATAGAGTTTTGACTCAAACTCCTAAGTACAGCAGCACTCACGGACCTAACAGACCTCACGGAGATCGCTCCACGTGGACTCGTTGCCTTCATCCGGAAAGCTGTATGGAGCTGGTTTCCTAAAATATTTTTTAAGGGGAAAGCTTTATTGATTATCACCGGCCGCTAGGTCCTTCTTGACCCGCATACAAGTTATTTCCCAATTCATTTTTTTTTTGGCCTAGTTGCATGCAACTCTGCAGTTTGTAACCCGAACGTACTGATTGGCAATGAAACCACAAATCGTCTTCCACAGAAACAAACACAGCCTACGATAGATTTAAAAATCAATTACCATTTTTCGTTTCAAGTGAGTAGTGCGTGATTCAGGGCATTCACCCACCGCCAGTAGACCAGGCCCGGTGCAAACTTTATTAAAGAATTTTTCTGGTATCATGGGTGATGAGGAACTACAAAGATGGTGCCTTAACTGAGGCTTGTCATAAAACCTTTGAGATTATTGGAATTATAGATGGCCATCTTCCAGCGGTCTGACCAGAATCGATTGCCCCATTTGCGGAAAAGGAAGGAGTAATAATTGTCGTCTAACAGTGAGAAAGCCATATCAACGAACATAATCGATCAACCTGTAACACCTTATGATTTGGCTTAGGCCACATCATAAACTTTTTACAGCACCCCTTATGTCCTTGTTGGCACGGAGCGTAACTGGAGGCTGAGATAATTTTAGGTACCACGTGGGGCAGAGCCCACGGAACTTGAGCTCCCACCACGAAAAATACGCAATGGTTCTGGTTTTAAACAAAATGCGGCTTGATCCAGAATATCGGAAAAAGTTTAAATACGTATTAATCCTTAGTAACCGAAGATTAAGTTAAGACCGGAACAAATTGACCTTTACGAGTACCGGGTATAAAAAAAAAAGTTTCATATTGTTTTTTAGGTATCCCAAATGTAAGAAATGTGGAGTGGGTGTTAGAGATGAACCCCTTCTATTTCTTCTCCCAGCCCAGTCTTGACCCAGCCGGGATTGGTCAATATTAGGTTTAAGATAACTTATTACTTCAGTATCTTATATGCCACAGCTTTCACCTTTCTCCAGATAAATGCTTTCGTTTTTTTAAATTCACAAGATCCGATGTATATCTAACAACTCTATCTTCATAAGTTGTCATCCTCTTGAATGATTTTTTCATTCTATATTTTCTTATCTTTATAAAGTTTTTTAGAACTCAAAAATAATAAAATAAAATCCTTACCTTAAAACTGGCCATTGGGTGGAAATAAAGAGCCCTATCCTTTTTTGATTGATTAGGAGCGATACTTATTCCAAATATTCCATCTAACCATTGGAAATTTAGTCCATCAATTGTAAAATCTGATGCAATTGGGTTTGGAGAAAAGTTGTAGTTTGTGATACGCCAACTTCTGTGTTTTAACATACTGTAAACAACAAGACCATATCTCCATACATCTGAAACTATGGCATGTGCGTCTTCACAGTTTTTTCCTATATCCACAACAATATTTGAGTGTAAAGAATCCTCTTTTACTTGTGATTTTGGAAAATTGTACCGAAGAACTAATTTATCAGAATTTAGATCATACACAACTATTTTCGGTGGACATATCTGTTTCAAGTTAATTGTGGCATTTACAATACCTGAATCAATTACCCAAATTCGTTGGCATTTATCTATCACTGTTCGATATACTGATATTAATTTTGAGCAATCGGGATTTTGTGGATTTCCATGATCTTCCCATTTTGGATATGGTCTAAGTGCTGGACTTATTTCCTTTGAGGGATACGAAATGGTGCTTAAAGTTGCGGGAACGCCATTTTTCCATCGTGGAGTTGTAATAAACAAACGGTTCAGATGAGAATCAATCCCCAAAGGCACATTATTTTTTGGAATAAATTCTCTACGTTGAAGAAAAGAAGAGATAAAATATTTATTACCAGACTTTAAAAATAAACGGGATTATTGTTTTATCCTACCATTCTTTCATGAAGTATCGAGTATTTTTTATTTAATAGTGCACATTTGAGGATAATTTTATCTTATATGTGGCTTCCAAGTAGTACAGATTAACAAAATTAAATCTAAGTCTAATTGAATAAAGTTTCTAATAATTAAATTTTTGTTTTAATCCGCACAGATTTTTACATATTATATATGTATATCATTTAGATATGATATATTAGATATATTAGATTGGTAAACGTTCAGTTATATGGCAGCTATAAGATATAGACGACCGATCGCTATGAAATTTGGTAGATCGAATCAACCGACTGAAAAATAGAATCTGTACGAAGTCCCAACTTTCTGTCTTCAAAAACGCGAAAGTTTTGTCTTTTCCGATTGTTTAGTTATATGGCAGCTACAACTTTAACTACCTAACTCTAAAGAAATCGAAGTTATAGCATTTTCGATCAATCAGTTATATTGCAGCCATAGGATATAGGCGACCGATCTCGACCGTTCCGACTTATATACTGCGTGCAAAGGAACGGAGCTTTAAAACTTTGAAGTAAACAGAGCGACCAGATCGCGTTGAAACAGACAGACAAACTGTGATATCCACACAAACTGTGTGCTGTGATATCCATATATACCGAATGCGCACTGTACTTCACACATTGTTGCAAATAAATAAATCCAATGATAAATATACGTGTTCTTTGACCAAGTGGACGAAATTCCAAACGGTTGCAACTTGCAAGTGTCAGCATAAACTGTCACATGCAGACCTGAAGTGTATGAAGTAAAGTGCATATTCATCTTTCCCCGCACTTCATACTAAGCGAGCATATAAGAATACATAAACGTCTACCGCTGCTGTACCGCTCTAAACCGATTTTAAAATTAATAATAAACAATGTGTGAAAGAAAGGAATAAGCGCAATGGAAGGGCACACTATGGCTCCGGCACGCTAGCAAGATTGCACTGACTTATTTTAAGATAAGCGTGATAACTACACTAGTCGGCATAAATATTTTGACGAACCCTACTTTTGACTATCAGACTTTGCTATCCTTAATACCGTTAAATAGAGGTGCCAAAATGAGGCGCAAAGCAAAGAATCTATTTTTAGCTTTGTGCATGCCAAATTTTATTTCGTTTACCTTTTGCATTCTCTTTCTACTGATAAGAATGCATGCAGACAATGGCTTTTTGCATGGCATAAGTATTTTGACAGCATCGTTATGGAAATATTTTCTCACATTTAAGCACGCGACAATTAAAGAACTTCTGTGTGTAACAATATTAAACGTTGTTATTTAAATAAAAAGTTATTAAGAATTATTAAATAACATGGGTAAAACTGCTGAACTAAGTTTGGTTACCAGATCCTTAATGGTAGCAAAGTTTAACGCTGGAATAGCAGTCAAAGACATTGCCGATGAGTTTAAGGTGTCGCGCCAAACTGTGCACTACCAAATTAAAAAATGTAAAAAGCATAATGACCTGCGTAATTTAAGAAGATCAGGTCCAAAGCGCAAAACAGATCTTAGTGAAGACCGAGTTCTTGTACGGGAATTTAAAAAAAATATTTTTCTAAAGCCCCAATCCGCAGCAGATCAATTTAATTTGACAGCTAAAACACCAATTAGTGAGCGCACAGTCCGTCGACGTTTAAAAGAAAGTGATTTCAAGACTTATAAAGTCAAGGAAGTACCATACATAACAAAAGCAAACAAGCTCAAAAGACTCGCTTTCGCAAAGGAATATGTCCAAAAGCCAAAGGAGTTCTGGAGGAGCGTTCTATGGACAGATGAAAGCTCCTTTGAGTATAACTCATCAAAAAATAAGTTTGTTGTAAGATTACCAATGGAACAAAGGCAGAAAAGGCGGCCCGTTTGCCAAAAAGTAAGCCATGGTGGAGGCTGTGTGATGTTCTGGGGATGTGTTGCGTATAATGGACTGGGTGACTTCGTTCCTGTCACTGGCTCGATGAACCAAGGCCAATATTTACGGATTCTAAATGATAACGCATTTACTTCTGGAGACAGACTTATTGGTCAATCCTTCATTCTGCAACAGGATAACGCCCCATGCCACAAAGCCAAGATGATTACATCATATTTGAAGGATGTTGGTGTTACCACTTTGGACTGGCCACCTCAAAGTCCAGATTTAAATATAATTGAAAACGTCTGGTCTCTTATTAAACGTAAAAGAACAGTATCGTTGAATAAAACCAGAGAGGAGACAATTTTTGAGGTCAGTTCCCTTTGGGAACAGATATCTCCAGAGATCATCCAAAATTTAATCGATTCAGTACCGGGACGCCTGGAAAAAGTTATTAAAATTAAAGGAAATTATATATTTTACTAAATTCCTATTTTTTCCTTAGTTTTTTTGAGTTTAAACTTTGTTACTCACATTAAAAGGTACTTGTCAAAATACTTATGCCACGACATAAAAATTACTTTAGCTTATATTTTTGCAAGTTCATATGACAAAATGTTGAATTCATTATTTTAAAGTTTATATTAGCACTTAGTAATACAGAAAAAAAAATCATTGAGTTATATTAAACCATTGCAAAGTTACATACAAACTAGAACCATTTGTTTTTCGTCAAAATAATTATGCCGAATAGTGTATTAAAAGACGTCGTAAATTTTACAAAAGGTTTATTATACCCTTGCAGAGGGTATTATAATTTTGTCTAAAAGTGTGCAACGCAGTGAAGGAGACATCTCCGACCATATAAAGTATATATATTCTTGATGAGGATCACCTCCTGAGTTGATATGAGCATGTCCGTCTGTCCGTCTGTCTGTCCGTCTGTCCGTCCGTCTGTCCGTCTGTCTGTCTGTCCGTTTCTACGCGAACTAGTCTCTCAGTTTTAAAGCTATCGTCTTGAAACTTTGCACACACCCTTCTTTCCTTTGCACGCAGTTTATAAGTCGGAACGGCCCGGATCGGCCGACTATATCCTATAGCTGCCATATAACTGATTGATCGGAAATGATATAACTTTGGTGTTTTTAGAGTTAGAGAGTTCAAATTTGACATGAGAGCTATTTTTGGCAAAACATTATGACATGCCAAATTTCATAAGGATCGGCCGACTATATCCTATAGCTGCCATGTAACTGAACGATCGGAAATGGTATTTGGTAGAAATGTCAACTTTCGTATTTTTGAAGATAGAAGCTTGGAACTTTTTTTTAGATTTTTTATTGTAATTAATTGGTTTTATTATGATGTAATCATAAGGATCGGCCAACTATATCCGATGTTTGCGATATATATCCGGTTTTAACTGCAAGGGTATATCAACTTCGGCTCCGCCCGAAGTTAGCTTTGCTTTCTTGTTTTTTTATCTCAAATTCTTGATCTTATATTTTAAAATAAAGTGGTTAAAAGTAAGGTAGAATTATGCAATGTGCTATTAAGTTCATATGATATGTGTGATACACGGGTGCATGTGTGCGTGAAATTTCGTTTCGAAGCCAGCACAAAATTTCACATTTTTGCAATTAACCACAAGCCGTTAGTAATTCAGTAAGCCGTTAGTAATTATCTTTTTATTGGGTTTGCCTTTTTTCGGATGGCGGGTTGTTAATAGCAAAAAGTCAAGTCATGTTAAGTTATTAAGTTTTTCGGATAGCTGTAATAAAACTTTAGAAATTCCTTTAAATAAAGATAAAAATTCTGTGCATTCAAAAGCATTTATTGTTTTGAAGCTCCCGAACTCAAAAATGTATGTTAAAAGAACTTTTAAAGTTTTCGTTTAACTGAAAGGCGAGAAAATGTGTATAAGTGCTTCAAAGCACTCATAGGATGTTGAGAGTAAAAAAGTCATTTTTAGTTTGCATGTTTTTTAATGGTAATGTAAGAAAATATTTTCGAAATCTCTGCAGCATAAATATAAGTTGCATTTGGTACAAAAGTACTGCGAGGTTTTGAAAAGTTTGCATCAGCGTTTTCCACTCTCTCGCTTTAAGCAAAGCGGAAATGGGTTTCATGATCAAACCGCAGAACAGTGGCCCCAATAAGCCATCTAGCGGAATAAAAATCCAAATAAAAAGGTTCAATATTTGGTTCAATTTTGTTTTATTCCAATGGTAGCCTCTATTAAGTACAAAAAGTCTAAAATGAGATCCCACTACGGCCAATTCTTAAGCTTATTACTCTTTATTGGTGGCATGTCAGTCCCTAGGAGACTTTTGCCTTGTGGCTCAGGGAAAGCGTAAAAGAAAAACAATTTCGGTGCTTAGAAAATATATGTTGGGGCAAATTTCAAAAAGCATCAGTTTATCTGAAGAAGAAGAAATGAACAAATTTTGTGAGCCGGCTTACAAAAAAATGGAAAATTTGTCATTGCAACAACACATTTTTTGAAAAAAAATCAGAAATGGCCTAATATGCCTCTGGTATAAGGCTTAAAATACTTTTTGCCTTCTTGAGTTAGTGAACCATGTTGTAGGTTGGACAATCCAATGTAAGTTGGACAATCCAATCCAAAACGCTTGATTTGCTTTAAGTACTCCAGGTTCTCTTCTATACAGGCATCTTCCATGTCAAGTTCCTTTCTGATAAAATATTCGTCATCTTTATCATATTTTCCAAGTTATCTAAAGTAAATGGCAGAATTTTGTCTAGATCTATTCCGTATTTTTCTAATACAGAAAGAATCTCCTTGGCAAGATTTTTTGCTGTACTAGACCCAGCTCCTCTGAGTTCCACCATTCCAAGAACTCGGGATTTTGTTTCATGTGAACTAATGAATTAAACCAATTCCGATCAAGTCGCGTCGCACTATCAATTTTTAATGATAGAATCCTATTTTTACATTCGTTGTGTATTTCTTGTCGAATTTTTTCTACTACCTGTCGAAGAACATATTTTCACTTGGTTCCATTTAATTAAAGTTTTTCCTTGACCTTGACATATGGGATCAA